GACTGCTTTAAAGGACCGAGCTCAAATAGTCCTTGTGGTCCTGGAACGGGGTCCCTCCCTCACCCAACTAGGGTAGGGATCCCCAAAGGTTGGGGATATGTCCCCAAGGTTGGGGATATCTCCCCAACCTTGAGGATATTTCTCCAAGGTTGGGGACATATCCCCAACCTAGGGGATCCCCAGGCGCTCTCCAAGGCTGCAACGAGGCGTCTGCGCCACAGTAGCGATCCCACCTTTCTTTGAGAAGGTTCGCCTCCCCTTCAGCGCCTTTCCAAGATGAGTTTTAGTTCATTGACACTTGTTATGTACTTGACTAGAGCTAGTGCATCTTCCCACCCCATTAGTGTCGAGTGGTTAAAACCCTGCTAGGCCTGTTGCTTTAACAGCAAACTTTTTTGTCAGTGTTTTTCTAGTATCGTTTTTTTTTGAGATCAAAGACATCGTTCAAGGTGTTTTTACTGTGAACTGTAAAAAAGAAGACTGCGACTGCAGTTTCTTACAAACAAGATCGAAGAGTTTGTTGCTATCTCTACATGGCGCCGTCCTACGTCTATATGCTGTTCTCCAGGTTTGGAACTATACTCTTATAAAATTAGAAAAGCGGGCGCTATCGCAAGATACGGAGGCGTCCTGCAAGACTAAACCTTTGGAAGACTCCAGGAAATCCGAGAAAAAACCGCTTGCTGCAAGAAAACTACTGAATTACTCAACTCCCTGAAGTTTTTCCTCCCGGCCTAAAGATTAGTGTTCTTTTCGCACAAAAAGGAGATGTTTCAAGCGATTTCAAGTGCACTGCTAATGTCCCTGTATCTTGCGATAGCGCAGATCATGATGGAAGACCTGGGGTTCCGTTGAGCTCGTGCATCAAGAGAAGTTGGAACTCTTGGGCGGAGTCTTATTCCATGATGTAATGAAAAGATGAATGAAAAGGAAAAGTGATTCGGTTTGTATATGGTGTCGTTGGTGATGGAAGCGGTTCCTGCTCCAGCTAAGGTTGCCCACTTTATCTCCAGCTACAAGACAGATTCAACTGTTCCATATCCCTTGGAAAACCTCTCCACTAAACCCATATAAAATTTTACGGTCGCAAGGGTTGTATGGATATCGATCATGGCGTCTTTTTTATCTAATTTCATATTTTTTGTGATTTCTTATTCCTTTCTGGTTGCTCAGTTCAGTCAATATTGATGTGTACATCTTTATTTCATTTCATATTCATCGTGATAGA